GCCAAGTCAGATCATTGGCTAGCCATGGGAAGAATTATGAGATATTTATTTTGGAACAAAACATTATGGTTGGTTTTATAATAAGTATCCTGCGGTACTTGAGGGATATAGTGATGCCAATTGGAACACTTTGTCAGGTGATTTTCTCTCTACCTCGGGTTTTATTTTTACCTTGGGTGGTGGTGCTATATGTTGGAAGTCTAAAATACAGACGATAATTGCTAATTCTACAATGGAAACTAAGTTTATAGCGTTAGCTTCAGCATGTGAGGAAACGAATTGGTTGAGAGATTTGTTACATGAAATTCTTTTTTGGGAAAAACTAATTCCTCCTGTTGTTAACTCGTTTTGATAGTACTGCTGCTATTGGTAGAGTAAATAATCATTTTTATAATGGTAAATCCAAACCTATTCAAAGGAAACACAGTAATGTGAGATCCTATTTGAGTAATGGCATCATAACTGTGAATTATGTAAGATCTTGTGATAATCCTGCGGATCCGTTAACCAAGGCCTTGGCGAGAGATAGAGTTTGGAATACATCGAGGGGGATGGGTTTGAAGCCTATTAAAATCATAAACAGAATAAAAGGAACAAATAAAATCAACCAAATATTATTTTGTAAACACAGAAAATAATTTTCTTCCGAAATTATTTACGAAGAATGAAAAAAGGAAACAATGAAAAATTCTGTAAACAGAATAATTCGGATCTTCTTAAGATTGTTGGAGCAATCTTCTGTGTAAATAAAATAAATTAAAACAAAAGTCAAATAATAAATAAATAACTCACCGAATTTATTTATCGAACCGAATTAAAATAAAAGACCAAGTCGAGTGTGTGACACTCTGTCCTTAAGACAGATTCGCCCCCCTACGGTGTTACGGTTGAGTGGCGTCTATCTCTCAGGATACAATGATCTTCACAAATTGTAGTAGCACTCCAAACAATTTATTCGACGAACCAAACCAGTGTTCTAACTCTCTGAAAATTATCCTAAAATAATATGAAGAATAAAGGACGCAAGAGAGCAAAATGAAGGCAAGGAAAATGATTTTCGGAATCAATCAAATTGGAATGGGACTGCCTTTATATAGGCTTTGTTGGCACCTATTCAATTTGAATAGAATGTATGAAGAAGGGATATACCCCTTCCTTTAAAATAAAAAAGACACCATGAAAGGTTTGCACCATTTCATTCAAATGGAGGTTTGACCCTTCCTTTAAAACAAAAGACACCATGAAAGGTTACACCCTTTCATTCAAAATGAGTCTATTTCAATTCACAACTACCTCTTTATAAATTTTCCAACAATCCCCCACATGAATGAAATTGACAGACAGAAAATGCAACAACGTGATGTAAACACAGAGAGTACAGAAATTGGAAATATTCTGCAAGGATAGGTAGCTTTTGGCTTTGAACCTTCCCTTGTGAGATACTATCGATTTACTACCTAACCAGTGAACATGATGTCTTAAACTGTTCAGCGTTTGTGTAAACCAAGACAATAGAACTCACACAGTATATCTCCAGACACAGTTTTAGTTCTCATTATTGTGTTCATTTTGGCCCTGAACACCTTGTCTTTCATGAGTGCTCTAAAGACTTGTAGCCCTTCACAAATCTTTAGAACCGGCCCAGTTCCACACTCACATAGTGATTCTTATGAAAAGTATCCTGCCATACTCCACTAGTTTTACTTAGATATAAGAATCATTAAAAGTATACTTAACCTAAACCGCTGCAGACATCACTATTTCATCAAAGAAATGGGGAGGAGATAAACTCCCCAGGGATCCTTCTGAGTCATTCACAACTCGGTTGTCCCTTTGAACCTAGATCTTGGATCTTCAGTCAACTAGGTTGGGTTGCCATTGTGGTAACTCTTATTTAATAGGCTTTAATCCCATTCCCCTCGATGAATTCTCAACTAACTCTCTTGCTAACCCTTTGGTTAGTGGATCCTATGTTGTCTTTAATTTAACATATTCTATGGACAAATTCCATTTGAGAGTAGTTGTCTTACGGTATTATGTTTGACGACGAATATGTCGAGACTTACCGTTATACATATGACTCTATGCTCTACCAATTGCTGATTGACTATTCACAATGTACGGCAGGGCTATCGCAATGTATGCATATAGCAGGCACCGGTTTTGGCCATATTGGAATATCTTCAAGGAAGTGGCGAAGCCATTTTGCCTCTTCCCCTGCTTTGTCTAAAGTTATGAATTCAGATTCCGTAGTAGACCTAGCAATACAAGTCTGTTTGGAAGATTTCCAAGATACAGCCGCCCCACTAAGAGTAAAGACATACCCACTAGTGGACTTTGAGTCTCTTGTATCCGATATCCAATTTGCATCACAGTATCCTTCAATTATTGCTGGATATCTAGTATAATTAAGCCCAATGTTACGAGTAAATCGGAGATATCTAAGAACCCTTATAATTGCTTTTCGGTGTTCTACTCCCGGATTACTCGTATATCTACTTGATTTACTTACTGCATAAGCTATATCTGGGCAAGTGCAGTTCATCAAGTACATTAAGCTTCCAATAATTTGGGCATACTCTAATTGAGAAATACTTTCTAGTACATTCTTAGAAAGATACAAATTAATAACTACAGGTGTTCTTACAAGATGATCATCATCTTTGCTGAATTTGTCAAGTATTTTCTCAATGTAATGAGATTGTGACAAAGCATATCCTTCTGATGTTTTGGTAATTTTCATACCAAGTATTACATTAGTAATGCCCATGTCCTTCATGTCAAAATGTTTATTCAACATTTTCTTGGTAGTTTTAATCATGTCGTTATTACTACCAATGATGAGCATATCATCTACATAAAGACATACAATGACATAACCTTTATCTTTGTTTTTAATAAAAACACATTTGTCACACTTATTAATTTTAAATCCATTTGACATCATTGCCTTGTCAAATTTCTCATGCCATTGCTTTGGCGCTTGTTTTAAACCATATAATGATTTAACCAATTTACACACTTTCTTTTCTTTTCTTGGAACAGAAAACCCTTCTGGTTGTTCCATGTAAATTTTTTCATTTAACTCACCATTTAAGAAAGCGGTTTTTACATCCATTTGATGAATTTCTAAATTGTATAGAGATGCAATGGCAATTAGCATTCTAATGGATGTTATTCTAGTAACCGGTGAGTATGTGTCAAAGTAATCAAGACCTTCTTTTTGTCTAAACCCTTTGACCACAAGTCTTGCCTTGTATTTGTCAATTTATCCATCCGCTTTCAATTTTTTTTAAAAATCCATTTGTACCCAAGAGGTTTATAACCTGGTGGCAAGTCCACTAATTCCCAAGTGTGATTTCGCAAGATGGATTCAACTTCACTGTTGACAGTTTCTTTCCATAAAGGAGCTTCAAGACTGGATATAGCCTCTTTAAAAGTTAAAGGCTCATTTTCTAACAAAAATGTTAGAAAATCTGGACCAAAAGATTTTGAGGTTCTAGCACGTTTACTACGCCTAAGTTCATCTTCCTCATTTTGATCTATCTCTTACTCTTCCTCTTGATCATGACTAGTAATAGCATCATAATTCTTGATCATTACTTAGTAATAGCTTATCAAAAGATCTCTATATTATTTACTAGTCTCTTGTCCCAGTTTATTTGGATAAGTACATTGTTCAAAAAATATCGCATTTCAGAGACTCAATAGATTAGTATTACATACAATTTCGGAAATGTTCTGAATTTATGAAATCAAACAACGATAATGCACTACTATTTCTCTGACATATAAACCAATGGGAAAAATGCAATCAATAGTCTTAGGACCTATCTTAGTTTTTTATAGAGATTAGCAATAGCCACCTTTAGGATCCACAACAACCCACCAGCTTTTTAAGTATTTGTATGATCGGTACCTATACCATGCCCACATTCATAAGGTGTTTGATTCACTTTTCTTTTCGGGATACTTTATTTAAAATATAAATTAAGAGAAATATGCTTCCCCCATAAGTTATGAAGGTTAACCAAAAAAAGCTGGGTACTATATGTAACATTGGCATTCATCATTTCCTTTTAAAAGCTCAAATTTTTTCCTTAATATTCTAGCCAATTTCACACATAATATTACGATAAGAGTGCAGTAAGCGCAGGTGGTCTGATGAATTATTCCCATGTTCTTACCACTAACTCACCCAAAAATGAATTCATATTCACCGACACAAGCTATCACTTCTAAGTTTCTGATCTTTCCTCGACCCAAATTGGATTTCAACTACATTTCTTATATATTGACTTATGAAACGTTTCCAGAAGCATCTCATTAGGCTTCGAATTAAATAAATACTATACTCTAGACTGTTAGTGCATCCTAGTAATAGTGATAAAATACTTTTTCCACTCTGAGTTTGAATTCTGATTTAGAAATCAAAATGTCACTTATTGAGATTTAATTCAAGTGGTTCCGTCTTCTTTCAATTTGAATTGCAAAAAGAGCTTTATAATAATGTTTGCCTCCAACGCAAGAGCTTCCAACAACTATATTGATTTTGAAACTCTTTACATGAGTTAAATTTAGTTTAAAGACACTTCCTATAATTACATTCAATTTCTAGACGCACAAAGAAATCCATAAATTAACATTTGTCCTAGAGGATACTTTAACTTCGTGCCATAATTTGAAGACTCAAGCAAGTAGAGAGAGAAGATGTAGTATTATTAATTTCAAACTGAAGTTAGACTACAATGTGTCATTACATTTACACTTGAAAGGCCATCAGAACAAATTGTAAACCTTTTATATACTCCTACATACATCCCGTTTGTTGTAAGTACACAACTTGTCATTTTTCAAAAAACTAGCTTTAAACCCACTTCTTTACTCAAACAAAGATCCGGGAAACTAATAGTTTTTGCGAATGCCGCTATGAGCCGGTACCATGCCAGCACATTGTCTACGAGAGTGGAAGTTGCTTTCTAGCATGTCATCTTTAGTACAATCTTTCCCTGTCCTTCAACTTTGGAAGTGTAGGACCGTTAACCATAAAGACGGCTTGCTTCACCATTGTCACTACTTTAGAATAGAGTAACTATCCTTTTTTGTCGGCACTAAAAAATTATAAGCGCTAACAACAATCTCATCAGTAGCACGCTCTCATAACAAGATGTCCACCCACTATTACTTTAGATGTTTAATTAGACCGCAAAAATTATAGTCCTACGAAAGGAAAAAACTAAACTTAGAGCAAAAAATTATTGATTTCATCGACACCATTGGAAATAATTGTCCACTTTGGTCATATGGGCTTGAGTCATGCTTTCTTGCTTGTTTTCTTTTTTAGCTTTTGCCTTTTGACATATTGATTACGGCAATCTTTGGCCCCGACTGATCTCCTCTTCTGTCACAGGAAACTTAAGCGCTGTTAACTTATTTTGCCCGTTTAAAACTTGTTTACTTTCTTTTATTTTATCCCTTCCCTTTAGAGCCTTGTGATGAACTTTCTCCCAGCAAGATTTCTTTCTTTGAACTTTTTTTGAATCACTTGTTTCTACCACATATATGCCTTAGATCCTATTTACGGATGCTTATCCAAGCCTGAACTTATCAGAATTCGCGCGTTGTCCCATCCTCAAATTCTTACAAACACGACACAATTAATTCGCTCAATAATGAATTTTCTATTATGGCGCTTGTGCTTTGCAACGGATGTTCTTAATTCCTTTCCACAGGCCCTATTTCGTGAGTAATTTTTCCAATTTTAAATGCGGCGATTCTAAACAATGATACTTAAGAGACAACCATAGCCAACCTTGGAAAGGATTCACTGAGAGAGATGCCTTCTGTACTACTGTGAATTGATCATGCAGAATAGAGTTGAGAATCTTGAAGCTTGGCTGATCACATATTCGCTGATAAAAACCAATTATCAAAAAAATCAGTGATAAAAATCTGTGCCAAAACGAA